GTAGGTGACGAGGGATGCGGTTTCGTGCATGCCATCTTTCTTGATCGGCCCTTCAAAAGTTGTTGGACCTGAAACCTCATGCGTTCACCAAAAGGTCCGACTGACTCATCCCCGCATTGGCCAATGAAAAAACCAGCAACCCGCAATGAGGGTCAGCCCCATTGCTGGTTCGCGGTGACACAGAAGTGCTTGGCCACTTGCGCAGAACCAACGGCACTTTCTCAGTGAAAATGCAAAATGGGCTGGGAGTGCTTGAGCGTTGGCTTGAGTTGCAATAGATGTTTCCTTTGGACTTTGGGCCTCAATCAACTGTCAGTTGTGCATGACGAGTTCTGTCATTCAAGCATATCTCCAGCATGTTGCAACTAGCCATGCACCAGCTCCTAAGTGCTGCGTCTCATTTTCTGATTTATGCGCTTCAACTCTTTTAGTTGTTGCTAGTGCATCCTTGTGTATCCAGAAGCTAAGACATCATTTGGCCGATGCGTTTTCGATCTTGAGAGCAAACAAAGGGTGCACACACACATACAGATGCGGAGACACCTCTCAGTACAACTTTGCACTTGTGTCCTGGGGCACAGAGACTGTTTTCATGACACCTTCTCTTGTAAATTCTTCTGAGACATAGTCATTCCATTCCATACTCACCAACTCTTGGTGTCTTGGCTTGGTGGCTTGGCTTCAGGCACCTTGCCCCAGACTCCTGCCTCAAGCCTGTGCTCTCCTCCAAACTATATGTTATATTTTAGGGTTGGCTACATACGAAGCAGACTCGCAACAAATTACAACGCAACATTCCGGCGGCCACTTTAGACCAAAGAACATGTATCCATTTTTTGGGAGTACTTTGGTTGGTTGAAACAATTCCGCAGGCCACTTCCGTTGCGGGCCGGTCCAGCCGTTCCGGGCCGGCGCTCGCTTTTCGCTTCTCGCTTCGGAGGCTACGAGTTCGACGAGGCGTGTCCCAACCGGACCATCATCGTGGACTCGCGCGTGCAGGCGGTGGTGGCACGCGAGCGGCCGCTGCACTGGGCCAAGAAGCTGCCCCTCGGCACTCGGGGCGATGGCTTCGTGTGACCGTGGGAGGATTTCTTTGGTGTGGGAGACTTATGTTGGAGGAATTGTGGTACGTCCAGAGTGGTGAGCAACACTCTGAAGATGGAAAGTGTGATTCCGGCAAAAAATGCGTGGAACGTGGACATGGGCCACATTAGCTTGTCGTGTTCCGTTTGTTTATGTCTTGGGAAAACGGCTCGGGAGCAACCGGAATGCCGATGGTCAGAAGTCTCTCCAGGAACATTGCCCCGCCCAAGCGCTCGGGGGACTCCAAGGAGTACGGCATACTGGTGCTGGAGTGTGACAGGCGCGACAGGGCGGCTGCCTTTGTTATGGGACTCGCTTGGAACATTCTCAAGGACCATCTGACCATAGGCCCCCCAGTAGTTTGTTATGGCAAAAAAGCTTGGGGAAGCAGCGGGGGGGGGGGGGGGAAAGGTGCGCCCTCTTAGATTGGAGTGCAGTGCGTCTTTTTCAAGTGCTTGGAGCACCCTCGCATGAGTCAAGGACCATCTGACCATGTCTAGGTGCCCCAGTAGTGCCCTCTTACCCTTTTGTGGGGGAGGATTCCCTACTAAAATAGACTACAGAAAAAAAAGGTATCCTTATTCTGACCTCTCTACTGGAGGACCTAGATGTTTTCCTGCCCGGGGCTGGTGAAAACAACATGCCGCCTGCCCCTTTTGGCAAGGTGGCAGAAGTGGCTGATGTCCTCTGACCCTGAGCTGTACGAGGAGGATCCGCAGGCACGGACGGACGAACGATTTCGCACAACTCGTCCCGGCAAATTTACGGGTGGCAAGGGGGTTATCCCCACTTCTGTGATACAACGGAATCTCCCCCTTGAAAAGGGGGAGGATAGTTTTTGGGAAGCCCTTGTTGTGTGACAGCCCTGGTCAGATTTCTTGCTCGTTCGACAGGGAATGAGTTGGACCGAATTCGAGAAAAAAACCGTCCGATGTGGTGTCCTAGCAAATCCAACCAAGAGCGGTTCATTCCCAACAACCACCTACCGGCGTACTTGGGGTATCCATGGTCCGAGGCCTGCCAGTTCTTCCAGGGCCTCTTCTTGGATGCGCGACCTGTGGTGAAGGCGAGTGGTGATGGGGTGCTGAAGAAAACAGGGGCCGCAGCGACAGGTCTGGTTGGACAAGAGACAAACTGGGAATCCTCCAGAAGTTGGTTGTTCTTGGATTTGTCTCAGGAGATGAAACCTAACAGCTTGCACATTGTCTACATGAACCCTCAGAAAGTGCGGACATGGATGTGTTTCCTGTTTGGTTTGGTTGGTTATAAAGACAAACCCCGCACAACCCCGCCACCCCCCATGCACACACACAAACCACGCACACAAACCATACACACACACATACACACATACACACATACACACATACATACATAAACACCTACATACATATATATATATATATATATATATATATAGATAAACATACGCACATACCTACCTACCTGCCTGCCTGCCTGCCTGCCTGCCTGCCTGCCTGCCTGCCTGCCTGCCTGCCTGCCTGCCTGCCTGCCTGCATGCATGCATGCATGCATGCATGCATGCATGCATGCACACACACACACACACCTACATACACACATACACACAGACACACATACACACACACATTCACACATTCACACACACACATTCACACACACACACACATTCGCACACACACACACACACATTCACTTGTGACTTACACGCACACACTCTCACACTCACACACACACACATACACATGACACATACATTCACACACACACACACATTCACACACACACACACACACTGATCAAGTCTCAAGTAACCTCGAGTGTTCGAGTCGAGCTGGCTTCCCTCTAGTTTCTTCAACAGGAGCGAAGCAAACAGCGTCGATCATGTGCGGGTACACAAGATCAGACCATGTATCCGCAATCAAACACAGCTTCGCTGGCCAGCGTTTGCTTGATGGCCGCTGGCCCCCTGAACGAAAGGTTGGTCCCTGGGTGAATCAAGGACTCCGCGCACACACACACAGACTCACGCACACACACTCACGCTCACACTCAAACTCACACACACACACATGCATCCGCGCGCGCGCACGTATGCACCCGCTCGCCCGTCCGCACTCGCGCCCACACGCTCGCACGAAACGCACATGCGAGCGCACGCGCACGGAGCACGGACAAACACACCACAGACAAGCACACGGGCGCCTCCGCACGCGCGAAGGCACGTGAGCACACCACGCGCACAGAGATTTAGACACAGACACAGCCACAGAGAGACACACAGCCACACAAAGTCACACACGCACACAGACATTCACACAGACGCGAACCACAAACACGCCACGCCACACACATGAGGCAAGGGCCTTGCGGGTCTATTTCTGGGACCAAGTGTGCCAGAGTCCGGCAGGCTCCAAAGGGCCTCCAGAAGCCAGGCGGGGCAGTTCCCAGGGAACGGGTGTTCCCGGAGCCTACCCCACCAACTGGCATGGAACCCAGACGGTCTCTTCACAGGAAAGCTGGCGTTTAACCTTGCAATCAGGTTCTTTGTCAGCGAAAAGTAGAACTTCTCGCAGCCTGGGACCCTTTAGCAAGTTTCCCTTCTGGGAAAGAAATTTCTGCTCTTGTTTGTCTTGCAGTCGCGGAAGCAGCTGAACATGTGTTTGCAATAAGCCCCAGAGTTCAAACTGCAGAACCCAAACTTTGGTTTTAGTGGCTGGGATTGGTAAGCGGATAGTGAGGATTTTTGGTTGGTGGTGGTTGGTGTTTCCTTTTTTTTTCCACTTGCGTGTGCTCTGACCAACTTTCGTGCACGCATATTACAGCAGAAGGAGTTGCTTCGAGCTGAAGCTACGAGCGGACATTCTCCGGAAGGATTGGGGTAGATTTGCTCAGAAACGGGCGAGTGTAAGCAACACAAGTGCACAAACACAGGAATGCGCAACGCTCGCAAACACTCAAATTAGAAGGCAGGCAACGACGCGCGCGCAAGCAAAACCCGGACGCAGGCAGATTCACATACACGGGCGCACACACACACACACAAACGCGAGGCCGACGCAAACACAACGCAGAGACCAACACGCGCACATACACACACACACACACACACACACACACACACATAACAGCCAATCAAGTGGAGTCCAACACAAACAAACAATTGAGCAGGAGCATAAGCAGCAGTCACCAACTTTGAGTCATATCCAACCGTCGTGCGTTGCAACATGTAAACAAAAAGCAACCAAGCTTCAGTCAGAACCCCAATGGCCAAATCCAACAACCGCAGTCCACGCATGCAGACAGCCATTTCTCAACAATCCAACAATTATGCCGTAATCAGCACCAAGCCTACCTTAGACAACGGCACAAGAGTGCCGGTAAGCGTCAATAAAGCTCCGGTAAGGTGCAAAATAAGTGCAAACATCCTGAACATGAGTGAACCAGCAACAAAGCCACAGCTGCTCTCTGCTTTGTCAGGCCCCGCAGTGGCAGTTCTGATCATCGGGGCTGCTCGAGCTCTGGTTTGGCCCCAGGTGTGCCAGAATATCAAGGACCGAGCTGCGGTTCGATTTTTGGCCTCGCGACAATCGATTTTCTGCCTCTAGCCCTGTGGCGACATGGGCCCACTTCAGACCCATCTCGGAGGAAGGCGGAGATGTGCAGGCAAAGGGATTGGAGGATTTGTGTTTGTCTTCTTCTTCGCAACACCACCAACATTCGAACATGGCAGTAACTTCAACTGCTTAAGCCCTGGAGTGTGTGATTTTGGTTTTGGCAAGGCCTTTGGTAGTTTGAGATGATATCCAAGAAGCAACTGGAGAAAGCCAAGAAAACACAACCACAAACAATATTGAAGACCCCAACCCCATGGTTTGCAATCTGCTTTTTGTTTTATTTTCTTTTTTTGTTTGCTCGAGGCTGTTGGCATGTCGGGAAATCAACAAACGCCTCAACAATGCCAAAAACAACACACAACAAGTCACGGTTGCGGACCCGAACGCCCGTGGGCCTACCCCCTTTTGGTCTCCGACAGCAATCCGTTCGTGTGTTTGTCAGAGACGGTCACCCACGCCCGGCAAATCGAAGAAAAAAAACATCAAAGGAGTGAGACCCACATGGTACAGGTCTGCTCCTGTTCTGCTTTGCATGACACCTCAAGACGGTGCCCCGCATCTTGATACTTGCCCACATTTCATGGGTTCGCATCATTTTGCATCACTAAGCCCACTCAAGAGCGTACCACTAATAAAGAAGGGCGCTCACTTGGTTTGTCTCAAAAGAGGGGAACCCTTGTCAATCGGCTTTCGAGTCTCTGGTTTCCTTTTCAAGCGATCCCAGAAAGGCTATCTTGGATGAGGGGAATTTTCCTGGCAATCTTTCCTCTGGTCCTTTTCAAGCAATCCCAGAAAGGCTATCTTGGAAGAGAAGAAGGTGGCAATTGGACTAGAGGTATAGCTGGTATCCCATGATCTGGAAAAATGGACAAGAGGAGATAGCTGGTATCCCATTTTCTTGGATGAGGGGACTTTTCCTGGCAATCTTTCCTCTGGTCCTTTTCAAGCAAAACCCAGAAAGGCTATCTTGGAAGAGGAGAAGGTGGCAATTGGACGAGAGGTATAGCTGGTATCCCATGATCTGGAAAAATGGACAAGAGGAGATAGCTCAGATAGCTGGTATCCCATTTTCTTGGATGAGGGGAATTTTCCTGGCAATCTTTCCTCTGGTCCTTTTCAAGCAATCCCAGAAAGGCTATCTTGGAAGAGGAGAAGGTAGCAATTGGACTAGAGGTATAGCTGGTATCCCATGATCTGGAAACTACAAGAGGAGATAGCTGGTATCCCATTTTCTTGGATGAGGGGAACTTTCCTGGCAATCTTTCCTCTGGTCCTTTTCAAGCAATCCCAGAAAGGCTATCTTGGAAGAGGAGAAGGTGGCAATTGGACGAGAGGTATAGCTGGTATCCCATGATCTGGAAAAATGGACAAGAGGAGATAGCTCAGATAGCTGGTATCCCATTTTCTTGGATGAGGGGAATTTTCCTGGCAATCTTTCCTCTGGTCCTTTTCAAGCAATCCCAGAATGGCTATCTTGGAAGAGAAGAAGGTGGCAATTGGACTAGAGGTATAGCTGGTATCCCATGATCTGGAAAAATGGACAAGAGGAGATAGCTCAGATAGCTGGTATCCCATTTTCTTGGATGAGGGGACATTTCCTTGCAATCTTTCCTCTGGTCCTTTTCAAGCAATCCCAGAAAGGCTATCTTGGAAGAGGAGAAGGTGGCAATTGGACGAGAGGTATAGCTGGTATCCCATGATCTGGAAAAATGGACAAGAGGAGATAGCTGGTATCCAATTTTCTTGGATGAGGGGACATTTCCTTGCAATCTTTCCTCTGGTCCTTTTCAAGCAATCCCAGCAAGGCTATCTTGGAAGAGAAGAAGGTGGCAATTGGACTAGAGGTATAGCTGGTATCCCATGATCTGGAAAAATGGACAAGAGGAGATAGCTCAGATAGCTGGTATCCCATTTTCTTGGATGAGGGGAATTTTCCTGGCAATCTTTCCTCTGGTTCTTGTCAAGCAATCCCAGAAAGGCTATCTTGGAAGAGGAGAAGGTAGCAATTGGACTAGAGGTATAGCTGGTATCCCATGATCTGGAAACTGGACAAGAGGAGATAGCTGGTATCCCATTTTCTTGGATGAGGGGAACTTTCCTGGCAATCTTTCCTCTGGTCCTTTTCAAGCAATCCCAGAAAGGCTATCTTGGAAGAGGAGAAGGTGGCAATTGGACGAGAGGTATAGCTGGTATCCCATGATCTGGAAAAATGGACAAGAGGAGATAGCTGGTATCCCATTTTCTTGGATGAGGGGAATTTTCCTGGATACCCCTCGATTTTTCCCGGCAATTGGGAGAGGAGCAGCTGGTGGACGGCCTCGCTGACGGAGTGGCCTGGAAAGGATGCGGATGGATGACCCCCCAGGAGTTCAAGGGGGTTCCGAAGTTTGGGGGAAACAATCGTCCGGGTTCAACAGGGCTCCTTAAAAGATCTCCATTTGGCCCATGTGAAACATGGATTTTTCCATCAAAATAAAGGGACGCCACCATATACAAGGCAATGTTCAGGTGTAATAATGTAAGGATCCCTGTTCAACATATCCTTGGCGCATGCGAAGATGGAATGCTTCTTAGTGGGTTGAACCGCCCGTCCAATCATGAAAACTTCTTGCGAAGGGGATGGTATTGATTGCTATAGCTCACCAACGTGAATTTAGGAATCCATACAACTTCCAGCTTCCATGCTGGGACGATTGACCCCCCCAAGTCCGCCTTGGTGAGGCCTCCCCTGATCCGCATACTTTTCAGTTTTCTGATTGACGTTCCTTCGAGTTGCCCTTTTTCTGATCCGATGACATGTGCAGAAGCCGGGCGGAACGCGCGTTTCGGGTCTGGTGAAATCCGCTGGATCGGCCTAAGCGAAATCTTAGCGCGCAGCATTCGAAGACTATGCTCTCACAAAGACTCCCGGGCAACTGGTTTTCCGAGCGGAGCCCTCTAGCAAGCAGCGCGGTTCCGTGTCCTCTTCGGGAAGCACAGTTTTGGTCCCGGGTCTCCAAGCAGCGAAGTTGTCCAGCCATACATGGAAGCCTGACTCCCAGCTTTCTCACGCAGATTCAGCGAGCTGGGGAAACGAGTCTTAGATCGCTTAGGTCTGGAAGGCGGAGGTCTTCTTCTTCCTCGCCCTCGAGGACAGCGACCAAGCCCGCGACAAGACGCAGAGACTTGGCCTTTGGAGTGGGCTGCCACCTGAAAAATCTCGGCGCGATGGGGGAGGGGTTTGTTCATGGGAAACCATTGGGAGTTGCCACACACGCACAAAACGCGCGGAATGACACACCCATAGGTGTCCCAAATAGATTTTGGCAGAACGGAAGAATTCAAGGAGTCCGCTAAAGTTAGGGCACACCATGCAAGTTTGACGGAAGTGAGGCCCCTTTTGGATCTCTGGTGTCGTTTTGTGCCGACTGCAAAGGGAGTGAGCCATTGGTCCGTTGGTCTGGTGGGTGTTCTGAAGATCCGTTGGTTTTTTGGGTATTTTGTTGTGATCCATCGATCGGCTGTTTGGTTCGGGTGGCTTCTATCAGGCTTTCAGCGTAGATTCCGACTCTGCCTCTTATGTGGTTTCGTTTGGTTTGATTGTTGAGACTTGGTGTCGACCAATGGTGTCATCGCGTTAACAAACCGTGTTGGTAGAGAGGGGACTCCCCCAAAAGTGAAGGATTCCCTCTAGAATGGGACACCCCGTATCAATCAACGGGGTTAATGACTCTTGTGATGATCTTAATATGGCAAGGGTCAGGCAACCAAATAGCAAGACACAGCATGCAGATCACCGGCAATCCCTTGCTGCAGGTAGTTCATGCCCTGACCATCTGAAATCCTAGGCGTTTACCTCAAGCTTGGGGCATGTCATGTTTTTTGCATTTTACTACTCGCCGCTGTCTTTCTTTAACAGGGCCGCTTGGTACAAGCGGCGATACGGATCCTGCCGATTTGCCAAGCAAGGCTGACTCAAGCCGCGTTGAGCCCTCGAAACTTGACGCAGGGCGCTTGCCGCTGCTTCCTGTCCGGCATTGCCGGGGTCTGGACCCATTCTCGCAGATGGAGTGTCGCAATCGGATGCACATTCACTGACCCTTTCTCTCCCCAGGGGCCAAGCCTCATGTGATTCAATGATTTAATGCCCCGTGCAAAATCACCATTTTGTTTTGGTCCCCGAAAAGGGGTACCAGGGGTAGGGGGTGTTCTGAATTAAACAACAAGTTTTGCTGGTGCTCAGTAGGGAACATGGGAATGACCCCTATATACCTCCCTTGTGGAATCCATTAGGGGACCGAAGCCTGGGTTCATTCCCTCGTTCCCTACCTGTCTCGCCAGTTTCCCTCCTTTCCCTCCCTCTCCCTTTCCTTTCTCTTCTTGCAACACCCGGCCCTGTGTTGAAATGGCTGTTTTAGTCTATTTTAGTGGGGATTGGGATGTTCACACTGGGCACGATTTGGCTTTTGACCCATGGATAAATGAAACAGCTATGAGAAGTATCCCCTTTCCGGCTCAGGATCCGGCACGCCTTCCAGGAGAGCGACCTGGAGCTCTGCCGCCAGGTGCTGCAGCCCAAGCACGTGGAGCTGATGCCGCCCAAGTACGCGCCCAGCCACAGCTGCCCGCCGGGAGCCTGGGCCGCAGTGGGCGGGCGCAGTGCCTGCCGCATGCGGAAAAACGAAACGGAGCCGCCGGCAGTGCCGAAAGGGTTTAGGGGTTTTGCCTTAAGTTTAGGGTGTAAAATTTCAGAATTGAACAAATGAGATTAGACATCTAAGTTTGCCTTTTGCTAGTGTTTCTGACCTTGTTCTAGCCTGCAGAGGGCCGGAGTGTTTTATGCTGAACTGAAGGGTCAGCTCTCGTCGGGCACCTAAATGGCGGGCTCTCTGGCACGGCGCTTTTCTGGCCAGGGTGGGTGCTGTGGGACCGGGTGCTACGCCGAATTCGAGAAAAGATTTGTGTGTGTGTGTGTGGGTGGGTGGGTGGGTGGGTGGGTGGGTGGGTGGTGTGCTCGCTTACCTCTTGCCAACTTGCATTGCCCCCTACTTGAGTGGCTGTGTGGCCTTGGCTTCGCGGGGGGCAACGGTTCCTGGGAAGTTCTAGGGAAGTTCCACGGAAGTTCCGGGCCGTGGTTGCCTGACCTACCTGGAGAAAGCATGTCATGCTGGATGAAGGTTCGCACACGAGACGTGGTTGGCTTCCCATTGAACGCACAAGAGCCCGCAATTCGCAGCAAGCCGCACTGGTGACATTGGTACGGGGCGTTCCGACGCGTCAAGGAGCGTAGGGCCTAAATGAGTAGAATTCGAATGGGGCTGTGAGTACTTCAAATCCAAATTAAGTAAGGACAGGGGCAAATTCTCCGCTTGTCTCCCCACTTGTCTGCCTGCTTGCTCCTTGCTTGTGCTCGGTGACTCGGACCTACCACGCAGAAGCAGCGAGAAAATCCGGAAACGGTCCGCGTGAGCAAGCGCAAGCACGGCGTGGGAGACACGCGTGGGAGGCGAGCCGTGAGAAGGTCCGATGGTCCTCCGGTGGTTTCTGCAATTTGCGGCTCAATAGGAGGCCAGCGGATGTGCACAATTACTATTTCAGGGGTGGATGCTGGCTTAATTCCTCTTTGATCTTGCCCTGGGCTTCGCGCGGTGCAGTTTCGGTCCTTCCGGAGGATGACTCAGGGTTCCGAAAAGATGCCATCAGTCGCGCCGAGGAAAGGAGCCTTGGTACGTCTATCCCTTCTATCACAAGCTCAGCGACCCATCCAAAGAGGTGGGTGCCAGCGATCGGGTGTATTCCCAATGCGCCCGGATACAGCTGGCCTACGACTTCGTGCAGAATGTCTATGAGACTCGTTGCAATTTTTGCGATGGCTTGTCACACTTCGGATTCTCCAAACCAATATCGCCATGGTTCAAAACCAATGGTACTATGTTGGGGTAGGTGCACGACCCATTTTAGTCTATTTTAGTGGGGGTACAGGGACCCATGGCCATATCCCTCTGCGACACACCACAGTCACGGGAAGCGGCGGAGGCGACAGGCAAGGCAGCTTATATGTACATAAGTTTGTTGTTGCGCATATTTTGTGGGTGAGACGTTTTGGTTGCACATTGTCATGTTGAACAGGACCTGCAATGAGGGGATACACTTTGGATCTGGTTTATAAGCTAGTATACGTACCTACGTACATACGTACGTACATACATTCATACATACATACGTACGTACCTGCGTGCATGCATACATACATACATACATACATACATACATACATACATACATACATACATACATACATACATACACACACACACAGACGTATATACGTACGTACGTGCGTGCATGCACACCTACATACGTAAATGCATACATACACTCGTACACACGTACACACGTACACAGGTACACACATACACACATACACACATACACATACACACACATACACACGCATATACGCACAGGACAGACAGGCATACAGACACACAGACATGCAGACACACAGGCATGCAGACATACAGACATACAGACATACAGATTCAGAAACATACAGACATACAGACATACACACACAGACATACACACATACAGACACACAGACACAGCACACACCAACATACAGATATACAGACAGACATGCAGACGTACAGACACGCCAACATACGGGCATACCGACATCCATGCCGACATACATACATGGCATGCATGCATGCATACATGCATACATGCATACATGCATACATGCATACATGCATACATGCATACATGCATACATGCATACATGCATACATGCATACATGCATACATGCATATGCATACATGCATACATGCATACATGCATACATGCATACATGCATACATGCATACATGCATACATGCATACATGCATACATGCATACATGCATACATGCATACATACATACATACATACATACATACATACATACATACATACATACATACATACGTAAATACGTACATACATGCATGCATGCTTGCTTGCTTGCTTGCTTGCTTGCTTGCTTGCTTGCTTGCTTACTTTCTTACTCGTTTGCATGCCCACACAGACTGCATGCCCACACAGACTCGCACATGTACGGTGCAGGGTATGGGCCTCTCCTTCCCCCTCATCCATGGTCATTGGTCATAGTATGCCCCCTCCCTGCTGATCGAGGATTCGTTTGGTTTGGAGTGGGCTTAGGCTGTTAGCTAAGGGCATGGGCTCGGCTTAAGGTTGGTTAGCATGGAGTGGCGCGGCTGCCGCGCGGGGGCAACGCCCGGGGCTAGCAAGCCTGGGACTGGGAACATATGTGCATGAATGCATAAAATCGAATGTGTAAATATGCAATATGAGTACAACATTTTATACACACTTTGCGTATACACAGCTTTTTTCATGTATACATTCATACCCGTGCATGGTCTGATCTACTCTGGATTGCATTCAAGAAACCAACGCACATTTATTGGGGCGGTGAGTCGCTTGGCGGTGGCGTGCTGCTAGGAGCCCAAAGTCGGCTTCAAGTACGACGCCTTCGTGCGCGCTCGGCCGGACAGCGTCTTCGTGCGCAAGGTGGGAGCGCCTGTCGTAGGTTGCCCTTTCGACTTTCACGTCCTGAGCTTGGGAGTGTGCCAGAATTTGTTTTCAACGAGCAACCTGGGCAGGATGGTCCTGACCGCAATAACATGGGGCTGCTGGCAGGTGACACCTCCGCCGTAATGGCAGCAAACATATCCCCAATCCAAACCTGGGGCATGGGGGACTGCCAGAGATCGGACCCTCCCTCACCTCCCTCCCTCCCTCTCAGGCAGGTACAGCAGCAAGCAAACCTGCTACTGGTGTGGTGCGATAGCTGTACCAGTTCCCGCTTCACACACGAGCTCAATTCTCAAACCCTCGAACTGCACATTCGCACTCCTGCAAGATCATTGCCGCCCACCCTTGGATTGATCCTCGAGTCAATTGAGTTCTGAAAGAGCCAGCGGCTTGTTTCGCTTCTTCTCCTCGCCAATCTTTGTGAGCCGCACATGTGCGCATGGCGAAAGTATTCTCGAGGGTGCACCTGGATGGTGCTGTGATGACTTTCCAGGGCTAGGTCTCCCAGTAGTGCCCTTTTAGGGATGGTTCCCCTACTAGAATAGACGACAGAAAAAAGTTGGTACCCTTATTCTAACATCTCCACTAGAGGGGTTGACTGGTACCCATTTCTTAGGGTCAAACTATCAACATGTTCTGAGCCATCCGAAAACCGATGGGATCGAACTCCACGGGGCACCCAGTGTGCCGCTTTGATTCACCTCGGCATGGCTCTCATTCTTCTTGGGATGAGATGTTTTAAGTCCACGCCCGCTAGCATGGATTGACCGCAAGTATGCAAAGGTGGTCTCGCGACTCTTTCGCTGCTTTGAAGGGACCATCCGATTGGAGGTCTATCGATCTACTTTCCATACATGGATTCGTACTCCGGGAGTTGATCTGTTCAACTTCGGCCTGCAGCTCCTTAATTACTGCCAGACCAGGACTCAAGAGACCCCACCCTCAGGCTTCTATTGAAGCCCTTCTGTCAGAAGTGTCTTTCGACCTTTCCTGAGAACTTGGGAGGGAAGTCAACATCTCTTGGATCATTTTTCCTGGTGGCACGTGGCTTCAAGCCACGGTTCGCACCCACGGGTCCCGGTCTCCAGGTCAGTTTCGCCGCAAAAAGCGCGTCTCGTTTTTCGTTTCTCGTGTGAGGCCCCGGCGATGTCCTCCCTGAACACCTCCGAGCTGACGGTGTCCTCCTCTGCGCCGGGGGACCACTGGCACCTCATCCACCGGAACTGCACCGGGCCCTTCGAGCGGAGGTGCCTCAGGCCGGGAGATGACGTGGAGCCAAAGCTTCTCAAAAAGAACAGAACTGAAGTTTCAGCCAGGGCTTGGGCCAAATAAAACGCCTTTCGGTTTCTTGGCTCTCCAAAACAACACCCCCCCCCCTTTCCCCCCCCGGGGCCTGGCATTCCCCTCCCCCTCCCTCGGGGCGCGCCCAGCGCCGTCGCCCGCCGTCGCGCGAGGTGCAAAGGCGAGGAGTTCGACGGCCGCTGCCGGCCCGCGGCGAAGCGCCTGGAGCCGAAGCTGCAGGCGGTGGTAGCGCGGGAGAAGCCGGCGGAGGAGGTGAGGCAACTGCTGCCCCTCGGCTTTTAAGGAAGATGCCGGCGTAGAGGGGAAAAGGAAACAACGTGTTCGGAAAGGCCAGAAGGTGCGGGTTTTGGTTTGTTTGTTTGTTTGTTTGTTTGTTTGTTTGTTTGTTTGTTTGGTTGTTTGGTTGGTTGGTTGGTTGGTTGGTTGTTTGTTTGATTGTTTGTTTGTTTGTTTGTTTGTTTGTTTGGTTGGTTGGTTGGTTGTTTGTTTGTTTGGTTGGTTGGTTGGTTGGTTGGTTGCTTGGTTGTTTGGTTGGTTGGTTGGTTGGTTGGTTGGTTGGTTGGTTGGTTGGTTGGTTGGTTGGTTGGTTGGTTGGTTGGCTGTTTGTTTGTGGAAAGCCGCGAGAGTGATCGCATTGGATCGGCAATCGTTTGTTTCTGGGCCAAGAAACGGAACCGAGAGAAAAGAGCTCTGTCGAGCAAAGATCAGAACAGCGTGCGCGACAACCACGCACCAGGGTAGAACATGGCAGACCAAAACAACAAGAGACAAGCACGCCAAAGTTGAAAGACAAGGAGGAAACAATAGCACCGAAGCGAAGAATAAGAAAACAACATCGCTCAAAGAGAGGAGATTGCCAGCCATACAGCCAGGCAGCCAGCCAGTCAGCCCGGCAGCAAGCCAGCAAGCAGGTTGGGTGAAGATGCTACCTATCTCCCATTTTTCCCCCGGAAATTCCCGCGACTTCCTCTGACCTGAGGGGTCGGGAAGTTCCAGCCCGGGACGGCTTCGGCTACCTGGTGCTGGAGTGCGACCGCTGGGCGAAGATTCTGAATGCCTCCCACCCCAAGGAGTTGTCCGCGGACCCCCGACGCTGCGAGCGGCTGCAGGAAGACTTCCTCAACGCGCAGCCGCCGAGCGAAAAGGAATGCGCGTTTGGCGGGGGAAGGAGGGGGGGGAAAGGGGGCAAGGAGACCAGGAGGGCCTGAAGAAGCATGTTGGCGGTCAGAAAGATGGTTTGAAGGTATTGCGTGCATGGACATCGCCCTGTTTTTTTCCTTGGACTTAGTTTGGCTGCGTGGCCGAACGAGTTGTGCCGCCGCCTGGTGGGATCCAGTGTTGGAGTGGGAGCTGCGGTTGATGTGGGCCCCCAAGAAGAAGCATTTCATGGTGCAGTGCTCTTTGAGGCTCTACGTATGTGCTATGCGGTGGAGCTGAAATTAACTTGAACCTTTGCGGTATCATGGTGCCGCTATTTTGCCTAGATGCTAACTTTTATGGAACATAACTTTCACGCGAAATCTGGTTGTCACAGCTGGCAAGCATACCGAGCGGCAGTTTGGATTCCACGCATGAAGCCATGCAGCCACTTTGGCCTCCTCAGCTGTCTGTCAAATGTAAACAGTGCCCCCACCACTGGTTCGTGACAATGATTGTGGCCTTCGTTTACCTTCCCAGATAGAGACTTGTCTGCACCCGTCAGTGTACTTCCATAATGTATGTTTCGGCCCAACCAGCTGGGGATACCATGTCCTATCCCAATGACTTTGAGGGAGCCTTAAATCACAGATCTTGCCATTCATCCGGGCGACTTTGCAATGGGCGACGACTTTCGGCGGCGACAGCTAGCTGAGTATGATGCTTGGCTGGATTAGCTCCTTCTCGCTCACTGTGGAAGGTTTGCGTGCATATGCGTCATATTGCCCGCGCCTAATGAGATCCCGAGCTCTTGGGGGGCTCACTGTCGCAGTTGGGCGGAGGAAGCGCGCAGTGATTGCTTCAAGCACGGAAAAGCGGGCGAGGCGCCGCTTTACCTCAGCTCGGTTGCTCCTCCGGCAATGATGAACTTCGCCTGCGGGATCCATTTTGTACCACCTTGCGAGCAACCAACGCGGGTAAGGCCAAGCCAACGGCGAACACTCCCAACTTGTGCTGCTGGCAAGCTTGTGCAAGGCGGTCTGTTTTGCTGCTCTGGCTGTTGGCTTGCCATCTTTTGCCAGCCTGACTCTGCGACTTGGTAAGGGCAAAGACTGGACGGCCAGCCTTGCGTGTGAAAACTTGGCAGAACGTAAGTGAAAAAACAGAAATTGAACTGAACGATCACTTAACACAAAAAAACACAAATCCCAAATTGAACTGGAACTCAAAAATGGAAAGATCACGAACTCTTGGCTTCAAGCCCCCAGGTTGCCTGGCAACAGCCACAAAGACAAAAAGCTCTGCAGCAAAAGAGTCCAACCCAGGTACCAAGCGAACTTGAACAAGAAGCTTCGAGAAAACAGAGTTTCTCCAGCGCCAGCTGTCGTTGCCAGACTTCATCAATTTGGCAGACCTCAGACGTGAAGCTCGCCCGCACAATTACTAACGCAGCAGTCCTTCCTCTGAGTCAAGAGCAGGTAAGAAGACCGCCAGAAACTGGACCACGCCAGCGCGGGCATTTCCATGACTGCCGTTTGGCCGGCGCAAGTATCAGCCGCTCTCGGCCGCTTCCAGGAAAGCGGAAAGCTGATGGTGCCAGAGACTTGTGGCGTTGCGAGCACAGGGCGGAATTGCCGCTGAATTCTCACGCGCAGTAGTTTGCATATACACACACACAGATATCTCCACATACATATCGGCATATTTGGAGTTCCCTCTCAAGGGCTACGGTATCCCTCGGAACTCTAGCGCTCAGCGGATCTTTATTTTGTGTCGTGAGCTTTTTGCTCCGTCGGTTGCTCAGAAACAGAACTGTTGGTGCAGGGGATATGATAAATGGGCTCTCATGAGCAGAGCATTTAGCAGCGGCCTAACATTGACCCGAAGTCACAGTTCGTAAACCGCACATAGGGTAGATCGGGTCCTGTTTTTTAGCCCTCCAAACCCCCCCAGCTGCACACATAGAGGCACTTTGTTCTCTGAACGGATCCCGACCTTATGACTGCTGTATGGAGTTGTCTTGCAGCAGGCCTGCCTGCCCCAAGAGAACGCCCTTTTTTTTTGCAACGAGCAAGTTGCTACCGGTGATGTTCAGTCTTTGGCAAACGTGCTAGGAACCACTGACCGAAGTTGGTGAAAATACCCTGGACCGAAGAATGTCAGCCTCCCATCAATCCTTTCGAAGCCAAGGGTCGACCCTTCAGAAGCCAAGTGTGACCTGGCTGGTCCGAGGTGGGCATGGACATTTCCAAGCAGCAGCAGCAGCAACCAGTTCTGCTGAAGGCAGGGTCCCTTCACGACCCGGCAACGCACTGTGCCGCGATTGATTTGGTCCATGTCTGGGCAGAGCTCGAAGCGAAACAACGATATTGTGATCTTGTTTGCGTAAAGCACAACAGGATCCGGATGGTTCTCTGGCACTTGGAAGTAGAGTGCTTGGGGCTGCTATGAGATGGAGTTGGCGCCCGTGTTTTGACCAGATGACTCTGACACGGGGCTCTTTGACCCGGGCTTTGAGGAAGGCCGAAGCTGACTTTTGTTGGAACTCACTGAACAGCGCCCCCAATTTCAATGGAAGTTCACACGTGTGGAAACACTTGTCCAAACCATAAGCATAGGGCACCCGAACGGGTTGAACGGGCAAGCCAGAATGACTAACGCAGCCCACTAAGCGATCCCTCCAGGAACAGGATGGGATCCGGTTGCCCCTCACAGACTACGCCCTCGCGAGCTTCTCATCGCTTGCAGTGCAGTCCAGACTTGCCACAGGCGAGGTCGGGGGGGCGGGGTGGTGGGGGGGTTGTTGTTTGTGTTTGGGGGGGGGGGTGGTCGACTTCGGCCAGTTCGACAAATGGGTCCAGGAAGCGCCTAGCGATCTGGCTCCGGCTGCTGTAAGTTTCTTTGGAGTAGTATTGGAGCGGACCCGCAAATCCAACCTTGTGTGCCCCAGCAGCCAGATTTTCCTTGCATGCTGAAGCCGTAGCAGAATATTCAACTGAACTTTCTCCGCTTTTTGAGTAGATATGTGCCGAGGATATCTAGCCCCAGATGCACGCCTGAGAATCGCACAAATGGACATTATGAGTTTGGGGTAGAGGGTAAAGTGAAAACACTCCGGTGGAAAATGCTCATGGGAACAGGTCAAAACCAGTCACCCACCTTTGCCCCACAAGCCTGAAGAAAATGCAGCCAACGACGAGTATCAAGTGCTGTGTGGACATTTTCTGGGCACAAGGCCGCCCTCCAAAAAAAGACGAGCAACCCTTGCACATATATATATATATATATACACATAAATACATATACATATACATATGCATCCCCCCCATGGTCCCTGGTTTTACTGCCTTTTGTTGGGCATGGTAAATCTAGAATCTCGAGATTTAAATTCTCAAAATGTCCAATTGTGGGTCCACAAAGCCTCATAATTAGGGAGCCCGGAGTCCTCCGAAATGTCCCAATATGATACACTTTCCAAATAGGATTTTACTTCTACTAGAATTGGAATGTTGAATATAACTTACTTAGGATATAATTTTCAAAAATGTGTCTATGTCCAATTACAGCTTAAACAAGCAGATCCTTTCTTTGCACAGGAAAATCAATTTCATTCTATCTCAAAAGGTGGAGGTAGTAGATGAGCAAATGTGGACAGGTAGCTCAAGGGGGAGGTGTGACGGTGTGTGAACATACATACATATGTATGTATGTATATATATATATACACATACATACACATACACATATATAGTACCCCTAATGATCCTGCGCCTCTTCATAAGATTCTGTAAAATGCTGTGTTTTTGAGCATTACACCTACCTTTGTTTACCTCCTGGAAAAGGGTCAACATGCTTCATAGCTAACATGAAGCAAACCGCTCACCAAAAGCACTTGACAGTTTGTCTAACTAATAACTTGAAAGTGTTTCCACTGGATCGCTAAGCAATTGAAAGTATTTTACCACTGGATGGAACAAACATCAAGGAGGATTCAATATCGAGGATTGCACAAACAACAACTTTCCTGAGAATCATCCATCCTGGTCAAACCCTAAAAATGATCAAGTTGTTCTAAAACTTCGAACGTATTTTACCACTGGATTGAAAGTTCACGATTGAAGATGACAGACAACTGGCCAAACCCGATTTTGAGTTCTTCCAACACTTGAAAGTGTTGTACCACTGGATTGAGGATTCAATATTGAGGATTGCACAAACAATAACTTTCCTGATAATCATCCATCCAAACACCTCGAACGTATTTTACCACTGGATTGAAGATTCGAGATTGACATATTTTACGTAAAGCTTTTCCCAGAATCTTTTTGAACACCGAGAGTATTGGGACAACCCTGTTCTTTTTGTTACTCAAAAACAAAATATGGGATTCAAGATTCAAGATTCCCAGAAAAGATGTTCAAGATTCCCAGAAAATATTTTCTCAGATTCTTGAATCTTGAATCCATTTATTTTTAAATCTGGATTGTTCTAATACTCTTGGATGCATTCAAACTCTTTCAGATTGCAGATGCTGATGTCATTGCTTTTATCACATGTATGCATGTATGCATGCATGCATATCATATATACACATGGCACCCCTCAATTTGGACACAGCATCCAAGACGCAACAAAAGGCATACAACCCTGGAAAACATACAGGTCAAACACACCCAAAGCAGGGTCCATGCATGTATGTACATATATATATAAACATATATATATATATGTATATATATATATATACAATATGTATATATGGATACATAATATATACATATATACATGATATATACATATATTATGAATGTGTATATATATATATATATATTGAGACTACCAGCGATGGGGTACGCGGCACATGTTTTTTTGGGAGGCCCTGGCCCGGACCCTCCCGCGGAGCCACGTGTGCGCCTGGCGCGCGCGGGAGTGGCCTCGGTGAGGCCCTGACAGTCGGGGCCCGGCTTTCGGCTCCCGGGTTTGGCGGCCCGAAGTGAGGAGTTTTCGAGACGCACGCTCCGAAGTTGATGGGCTTTTTAGGTCTTTTGGAGGTACCCCCTCATACCACCCACCTATCCGTTTCGGAGTTGAGGCACTCGTTTGGTTTTTTTTCCACCATTTTTGGTGGTAAATGAACGGTTCCGGGATCTTTTCTTCGGCTTAGGGAAGTGAGTTCCCCAACCAAGGCCCTAGAAACCCCGTGTCGAAGTTTAACTTGCCCTGACGATGTTTTACCGGTCAAACATGTGCACTCCGTAGTTACGATGTTAAACCACGCATTTTCACCTTCTCACTTCGCA